TGGATATTATCCTATCACTGACAGCATTGTACTTCAGGACAGATCTTGAAACATCCTTTGTGATGATGAATGCCACGCCATTCCTTTTCACACTGCTTCATAGACGTACCTAATAGTTCAGTCTGTCCACCCATCTATCCACCTGTATACCCATGTTTGCCTTCACTAGCAACACAGTACTGTATGTGCAAAAGGGTTCATCTTTGTTGTCTGTACCTCCCATGCACCTCTCTATGTCTTTCTTTTCCTCAATGACACCATGTTGATCACTCACATTTGGTACATTGTCTTGGCACTTTTTAAAAACCTTATTGAGTATTGCCACATTCCTTTCTAGAGTAGTTTGGGCTAGTCTGCACTTCTACCCAGTGGAGGGGGAGGTCTCATTTCTATACACACTGTCCACCTGTTGGATTTTTAATTTTGGGCAAACTGATGGGAGTGATATTTGATATTAATTTATATTTCCCTCATTCCTAGTGAAGGTGAGCAACTTTTCAAGTGCTTGTGGGTCCTTCTAGTGTTTGATTTGCCTGTGTTCTTTGCCCATTATTCTTAGGTTGTCTGTCTGTCTTGTTGGTTTTAAAATTTCATGATACTTTAAAATCAGTAAAAAGTTGAAAAAGATTAATGTACCCAAAGGAAAATTTCACAAAGGGAAGAACAAATACTTAACAGAAGTATGTATTGCCAATAAACATTTGGGAAACTGTATTGTCATGGGAGAGAAAAGCAGACTGCAACAGGTTGGCTTCTGTTTTGTTCAGATTTGCAGAGAATTATTTCAGTAAAAGTTCTCCATGTTGGAAGGTTAAAACAAAGATTAGAGTACACTCTCACCTGTTTAAAAGGGGAAAATATATTTACATATTTTATTGGAAAGATACACAAGAAACTGCTAATCCTGCTGCCTTGGGGAAGGGAAACTGGTGATTTTTGGAAGTGTTAGGAGGGAAATTTTCTGCTCCCCATCCATTTCTATCACTGTCTCGTTGTTCTTAATCCTCTTCCTGATTGGCTGTTGGGGGGTGGAAGTGCAGGTTAGCGTTTGAGTGATTGGGATTTTGTTTAATTTTCAAGCATCTCTTCCCTATTCACTTCTGATTCCTGTCTTTCTATTAAATACTACATTGAATTGGTTATTCACTTTGGTGAATGAGGCACAAAATGTCATTTCCCCCCTTTTTTTTTTGACATCTGATGGAACTGCACGTAGGAGCTGCTGTTGCGTGAAAGCTTTTTGTGACTCCTCCTTAACCTCATGGGCTCTGGTGCATCCTTCATCAGCAAAAGACCTAGCGGACCCTTTCAAAGTGAATCTCTGTTGCCGAGTTTACTGTGTCTTCTGTTGCACAGCTCCTCTCTCTGTTTCAGGATACATAAATTTTTAGCGTTTGTTTGCTTGTTTAATTTCATATTCCCTCACAGAAGTGAGCCTGGTGCCAGGCACTGGTGATCAGTGTTTGTGCATCTGCGGTGTTGCTGTGAAATTGTCAGCTGTGATCAGGGTTTGATGTGTCTTGTGGCTACGGTGTCCCTTGGCTGGCAGCAACTAGATGCCGTTTTGTACATACAGTGGGAAGGGCGGGGGGTGGGGTGGGAAGGCACATGTTTTATTCTTTCTTTCTTTTTTTTGGCAGAGAAACTTTTCCATGTCTGTAAATAGTGCCGCTGTCCTGAGATTGACAGGACGAGGAGGAGGAGGCACAGTGGTGGGGGCTCCTAGAGGTCGAAGTTCTTCAAGAGGGCGAGGTGAGCTTTCTTGGAAACAGTAATAGCGGTTGGAGGAGGACAAGAATACAATTGTTTTCTAAGATACTTTAATGCTTGAGTTTTAAAAACTGCTGTTGGGCATTGAACTGCATACTAAATGCCTCAGACATTTATTTTCTGAACTATTTCTTAGAGTATTTGATCCCTAACCCTAATTGGGAGCGAAAAAAACCAAAACCCATTGCTGTTGAGTTGTTTTTGACACATAGCGACCCCATAGGACAGAGTAGGACTGCCCCATGGGGTTTCCAGAGCTGTAAAATCTTCATGGGAGCAGACTGCCACATCTTTGTCCTGTGGAGCGACTGGTGGCTTCAAACCGCTGACCATTTGGTTAGCAGCCAAGTGCTTGACCCCTGTGCCACCAGGGTTTCTCAGTTTGGAGCAGAGAGGTGTAATTCTGGCTGTTGAGATTTGAGTGTGAGAGATTCTGGGTGGTCCCATTGAATCATCCACGTCCACAGGGGCCTGGCACTTTGGGAGCTAGAGCTTCTGGAATTGTCCTGCTTGCTAGAGCAGCACTGAAGTCCCTCCAGGCTCTGTGACACAGGAGCGTTCCCAGCCACAGAGAGTGTTAGCAGCAAAAGCTGTCTCATCAGTACTTCCTTGCAGGGCTGTTTAGAAGGTAGAACAGAAAATACTCATGCAACAGCACTCAGCACAGCAGTCGCCCCTCGTACCTTGTGACTTTCCCTGAGGAGCTTGCGAAAACGGAAGACTGGGCCACAGCGCTAGGCTCTTGTCTGCAGCGTGTCACCCCCAGACTGCATTCTAGTGTACATGGAGTCAGCTGCTTTTCCTTCGGTTTGAGCCTTATGGTTGGAGTCATCGTCACTCTGTAAGGCTGTGTTAAACCCGACATTTGTGAAGAGGCTTCCGTCAGTCGTCCCTGCAGGATGTGCAGCTGCAGGTCCTGTGATCAGTGACGAGGCTAACTAAAAATCTTCACTTGTTCTGACCAGGTGCTATTACCTAGTTGTTGATGTCTCTGCCTTCTGAATTTGTCTTTCTTTCAAATGGTGGTTTTTAACCTGGGGAGGTGTTAGAATTGTCTGTAAAACTGATTAAAAAGTACCTCTGCCACAAAGCTCTGGGTGGTGAGTTTTAGAGGGGTGTGTGTGTGCTTCAAAAGTTCCACAGGCAGTTTGGACCGGCATGCCCAGTCAGGCTCCATGGGTGCAGAATTCGTCAGAGCTGCATGTCTCCGTGGTGTGTGGTGTTAGGGACTCACTGCTCCTCCAGCTGGCCTGGAACGTGGGCGTTTTCTGTTTCCTGGTGGGGGCCAGCAGCTGGGAGAAGGTGCATCAGGCAGCCCTGCCCCAGTGCTTCTCGGGGCAGGGCCTGGTCTGGCCTGAGCTTATTAGCCAGAGGTGTGAAGTCCAGCTAGCTGGGTGATGGGCCTAACAGCCCCACCCCACCCTGTGCGCTGCAAATATCAGCCAGCCTCACTGAAACGGGGCTTTTGTTGGTTGGTTTTTAAATTCGTGTGGAGAATCAGGTGAAGGATTGGCAACTTTCTCCCTGCTTTCTGGTTTCTTTGTTGTGAAGGGTTATAGGATAGAACCCTTGCATTCAGAATTTGGAAAGGGTGTGTATAAAAGATTGACACAATGTCTTCATTGCATTGCTCCTGAAATGCCCCACATATAATTGTGTGCGTTATTTCTATATTTCATAGTGAAATCATCTGAGAGTCTAACTGTATTCTGAGCCAGTACTTGACAAATTATAACCAAGAAGTAAAAATAATATATTGATACATGAAATGATTACTTAATTCAGTGGCATTTGGCTTTGGATTGCATTCATGCTTTTATGCAATTTTTTCCTTTGGGTGATTTTGCACTGTGGGACTGGCTGGGCTAGGGACTTCTTGTACTTACGAGTACCTCCCTGTGCCTTCACCTCACCTCCCAGTTTCTCACCTGTGCTTTGGATACACACAGTTGGGAAAACCTCAAACTGTACAGAAAGTATAAAGCTGAAGGTGCTTATTGCCCTCCACCACCAGACCCAGCACTTGGATGTATGCCCGTCCTGACCCCATCTGTGCAGCTGTGTTATGTACATAGAATCATTTTTATACCAATTATACTATGGCATGTTTTTGTCATTCAACAGAATAATGTAGATTTCTTTTCATTCATGCCAGTACTTTATCTTCTGAGGCTTCAGTGTATTGTACTGCTTTAGCCAAGACTTTATTGATGGGCATTTAGGAGTCCAGTTTTTTTTTTCTTTTTTAATGGCAATAAACTTCACATATATGTTTGCATGTTTGTGTGTTTTATTAGGTTAAATTCTAAGTAGAATTGTTGAGTCAGGATATGCTAGCAGTAAACAAATGGGTATAATGAAGGCCAGTTAGAACTTGAGCTGGCAGAGTCGCCAAGTCCTGATTTCCACACTCTGAGCAGCTCTGTGTTCCACTTCAATCCTGACATTGCCTCCCTCAGGATTTGAGTGGATGGGAGGGATTCCCTGGTTTGCTCTGGAATACTTTCTTAGCACTTGGGTTTACAAAACAGAAAGCTTTGAGTTGACTTTAGATTACCTTTTCCTGAGATGAGAGAAATTGTTTGAAGATTGTTGCTGATTTTTACACTTCAGCACCACTCTTCCCAAACTTCTCAAATCAAGATTTCCATTTTTGTTGAAAATAATCCAGTAAAAGGTTTGATTTTACAATACTGGTTTATTGAGCTTTTTCTGAATTTCACTGTGGAACGTTTTGGTAAAGAGCTTAAGAGCAGCACTGGTTCTTGCTCAGGACTGGGATTCGGCCTCTTCCACTAGTTTGCTGACTTGTGTTTTCAAGTGCCATCGTTGGCCTCATAGATGCAGACCCAAGAGGGCTCCCTAAATGTTTAAACGTCGACATCCCGCTTTGTACAGAGACAGACTTCAAAAGCTGGTCTCTGATGCTGACCACAGCAGGTGGCAGGTGCTGATGTCTGTCATGCTCTCTGTTTCCAGGCAGAGGCAGGGGCGAATGTGGTTTCTACCAAAGAAGTTTTGACGAAGTGGAGGGCGTGTTTGGTCGAGGAGGGGGCCGGGAAATGCACAGATCGCAGAGCTGGGAGGAAAGGTAAGGTGAGGGTCCCGAGCTCGTGTGCAGTGTCTCTTTCTGTGATACGTCCTGCTCTCCTGCTTCCTTTGAGGAGCAGCTTCTCTGATGTATGGCTGTAGGGCTTCCTTCTTTAAGGTGCTGTTCATTACGGGGCATCAGATTGCACATGAGACATTTTAAAGTGATCCTTTCTTAAAGAAAGAAGCCATTCTAGATAAACAGATGGATATGTTTCCTAGGGTTTAAAACAAGTTAATTCTGTCACAGCTCTGAGGCTGAAGTCCTGCTGTATAGTATCAAGGTCAGGGTGATTTTGAAAATATGTAATGATGTGGATGCATCTAGAGCAATAAAACTCTTACAGCATGTATTTAAGTTTTTTTTTAAAAAAAGCATTCTTGTTTATTTTTAGTAATTATAAATTGCATATACAAAAATATTGGTGTAAGTTACCTTTTGGTAGGTGAGTTAATGGGTATTTTTGTTTTCAGCTTTGTTTTTCTAGATGTTAGGTAATAATCACATATTTGTTTTATACTTTGAAAAAGGCAATGCTATTAATTAAGACAGAAAGTGGGTTTGTGGCTGGGGACTCCATGGATTGTTCTCACATGTTATTTGAAGCTTACTTGATCTTTTCTAGGGGTGACCGACGTTTTGAAAAACCAGGACGAAAAGATGCAGGTAAGTCTTTGCATTTTGAAATGTATTTATTGGGACCTCTGTATTCTCAGTTCTTAACACACTCATACATAAGGATTGCTTGATTGCCTTCTGATTCACTTTCCTCCCCTCTCCAGTAGATGGGGTTGCAGCACTGCTTGCCTTTAGAATTCCACATGACACTAAGGATGACGATGAAACGAAACCATTAGCATTTAGGCTCCCTGATGTTTAGGTCTGTATGTCCTCTGAAAGGTCTGTTTATTACAGCCGTTTGTGAACTGACATTGTAACTTAGCAGCTGATCTAGTACCAGGAGAGCTACGAAAATGACTGTACCGTTCCAAGTTCCTACGTGTTTCCAGAGCATGACCATACATGACAGAGGTAACCTTTCTCATCCACATGTTAAATACGCAAGTGGTATTCGTGACTGACCGATAGGCTGTTTTTAAAAAATCAGTGATGACAGTCAGCTCTGCATCATTGCTTCCATATACTCATTTTAACATATTAATGAGTGATTTACATTCCTCGTTCATTAACACAGCTTTGGGAGTAATCATTTGTATTTATATTCATGAAAAACCATTAAATGTAAACATAGCATGAAGAGATCTGGCACAGGGCGGGGAGAGAGTTTATTGCTAGTTGAACGTCTTCACCCATATTACAGACCATGGGTAGATACTGTCAGGGGGTTGACCCGGCCCTCTGCTCTAAGTCTGATTCTCTGCTTGTGCCAGTGAGTGTGGCGACATGAGGGTCAGTGTGAAGAATAAGGATCTGGAATCAGAAGACTTAGTCATGGCTAGTTTGAATTCTCAGCTATGTATTAGTCTCATCAATAATACAGAGGTGATAAGGCCTTAGAGAACTTACAGGACTATGGAGGAGTAAGTGGATTCATTTATTTGGGCAGCAGATGCTGAGTTCCTGTCACTGTGCTAGGTGTTGTGCTGGGTACCAGATGCTCCTTTTCTGTGGAGGAGGAGGATGATGTGCTGATTTCTTTTCCAAATCGTTGAGTGTTGTGAGGGAGCTGTGGAGTGGCACAGTTGGGACTCGGGATCAGAGTTAAGGTGGAACAAGAAACTCAAATCGAATGGAAGTTTGATACAGAAAATAAAAAGTTTTGCAAACATAAACTCTAGAATTGGACGACAGAGGAGCTGTGTGTAACAGCAGCCTGCCGGGAGCGGCCCAGCACTCACTTGCAGTGGACTCTGTGCAGAGTGTAAGTCAGCACTGCCAATGTCCCTGCACCCTTGGCAGCATTTAGCATAATAAAGTGTCCTCAGTGAACTGGGGGACAGTTGAGGGGTTGTATTCAGTTCAGTGGCACACTTTGAAGGTGTTCATATATTGGAGTAGGATGTCGGGGAGTTAGGGGACGTGTGACAGGGAATGCTTGAAGGAAAGGAGCTGTTTAGATGGAGGTGAGACTGACTGGAGTGGGGAGAAGGATTTATAAGGACACTGCAAATATTTGCTTAACGATCATGTGAAGGATGAACTGAAGGACAGAAAAAGGCTGAACTATGGAAGGCTCAGGGAGGTAGATATCTGACACAGTCTTAAAGACTGATCTTGATCATTAGAGTTGTCTGAAAGTGACATGGGTTGCCTTGGGAAAATAGTGAGTTCCCTGTGATGACAATAGCTCGATTTTAACTATTAGTGCATAATCACTCTTCAGTGGTTTGAAATAGATGATTATAAAGTTCCTTGTAATCATTATCTGTGATTTTCATATTCTCATATTTTACTTAATTCACCCAAACAGGGTAGTTTCTTCAGCCACCCTCTGTTAACAGTCATTTTCAGAGTTGCTGTGGTCAGTTTGACTCCATATAGATAAATTTTAAAAGAGCACGACGCACAAGGCAGACATTTTCCACTGATTAAACTGTTGTTTGGTTTTAAGAAGACTTCTGGGGATATTTTTGGTTTAAGATTTAAAGTTTATTATCAGGGCAGTAGTTTCAGAGGTTTATCCAGCCTCTGTGGCTCCAGAAAGTCTGGATTTGCTGAGAATTTGAATGGCTGTACAACATGAGTGTAATGTGTGTATTTTCAACAGTAATAACAAAAATAATTTTAAAAAGAGTAAAGGTCCTTTTCTTTGACCGTGTATTAAAGAGGTAAGTGCTCTATAACCAAATTGACATGAGATAGCAAGGAATATTAAGAAAATTGTTCCTACTGAAACATCACGACTATTTCTAGTTGTGACTATTATTCTAATATGTTGTTTGTTGTTATGTGCCGTCAAGTCGGACCCGACTCGTAGCGACCCCTCCTTGGGTTTCTGAGGCGGTATCACTACAGAAGTAGATTGCCTCATCTTCCTTCTGAGGAGTGGTCGGTCGGTTTGAACCTCCAGCCTTCTGGTTAGCAGTCAAGTGCCTTCGGCATTATGTTACCAGAGCTCATAGTGACTTTCAGTGAATGCTTTTTGGTAAGATGCTCCCTTCAGGTTATTATGTGAACTATGCTAATGATTCTGGGCTCTTTATGTAAGCACTCCATTTTTGTGGAAAATAATGTAAACAAAATTCGTAATTGTAATTAATTGTATCTTACAGTCTCCAAGAACAGCAGCTGATATAAATTGGTCAATTGTGAGATGTCCCAGAGCATCGAATTAAGATAATTGGCATACTGAAGGGTTAGGAATGATTGGTTCCTTTTTAGGTTAGAGATGATTCCTGTCATATATTTGTTTCTTCTGTGGGGAGAACTGGGCGGAATTACAGACATCTGGGTAAGAATGGCTCCTTACTCCTGTGAACAGCTCTTAGAGAGCGTGGACAGATTGAAAAAGGCCTGAGAAGGACTTGGTAGAGTTGCCATTCCTGTTTAGTGAGAACTGACAGCTGCAAAGAGGCAATCAGTTCTAGTGATTATCTTATGGAACGATTCTGTGAGGACGAAATCAAGATGACTGAAAAAGAAAAAGTGACCCAGTTGATGCCAGTACGTGATGCTGATTAATCTATTTTGTGGCAAGTGCTTTGAATAGACATAACAGTTTTTGGTCTTTAGGCTGCTTCTGGCAGTTGGGGGTAGGGGCTACACATACATGAAACTCTGGCTCTTAGGATTCTTAGTAACTGCTTGTCTCCAGTTTGTTGGACTGTCACGCTGTCTGTATTGCATGACAAAAACACTGAAGTTAGTTCCAAGGTGGCTCAGGTGCCACAACTGAGCTTGCAGGCAGTCCACAGCCAAGCAAGCAGAGCTGCCCTCCTGCCCTCTGACATGTCTCCCCCCACCCCCAGTCTTTCCCTGGTACTCCATTCTTCTGAGAGAATAATGGTTTGCAGACAATTTAATCCTCACTGTAGACACTGATTCTTTGAAGTGAGAGAATTATGAACAGTGCTCCCAGAAACTTTTGACCCCCCTGAACAAAAGTTGGTTACATTGGTTAGTTGCTCTATTGATAAAACATTTATTATATAGCACTGATAGACCAACAGAGGCTTCTGAGAATGTATTTGGGGGAAGTCACATCCAGCGTTCAGATGGACAGTTTGTCTATAACTACAGTAAAACCTGCGAAAGCCGGGATCTGTATAAGGCAGAACCTGTCAGAGAAGGAAAGTTCAAATATTTTCCACTAATAGAACAGAAAAGTGGTAAGTTGTATCCTGTTAAAAGCAGAAAACTTGTAAGACTGGGGGAAGATAAAGGCCATCCTCTCAATTTCTACCTTTCACAGATTTCCCTGCAATAAGGGTGATGGGAGAGCTTGCACCTGCAGGGGCTTCCGTCCTGGTCCATGGCCGTCCACTTGCTCAGGCACCTGGTGGTTTCCCTTAACTGTGGGAATTGTGATCTGTGCAAGGGACAGAGGAGCTCTTAGGAAAAACACTGTGTCAATCTCAGTTACGACTTTATTTTCACAAATTAGGTGAATCTTGTTAATTTATTACAGGAATAAGAGTTCCTGCTGCCTAGATGTGTTACAGGAGCTCTGGTGGCATCGTGCCTCTTAGGCTAACTAGAAGGCTGGTGGTTCAAACCCACCAGCCAGCCATTCCTTAGAAGGAAGGTTGGGCAGTTTACTTCCTTAGTGATACTGCCTTGGAAACCCAAGGGGGATGGGTCGCTATGAGTTGGATCCAACTGGATGGCAGTAGGATGTGTTATAGCAGCCTTGGGTTGGAAGAAAATCTGTTGGTCTGACTAGTACTTAAGAATGCCTAAGATTTTCAAACAGCAGAAGTTCACAGGAATTAGGTTTCTGTGTTCTTGATATTCCTCTGCTATTACTCATCTTAGACCATTCCAGAGTTCTTTATTTTCTTTTCCTTTTGGTCAAAGACTAGAAAGATGTGGCATACTGCTGTGCCCCGCTCTTCACAGCAGCTTGCATTTATTCAGCTCGTATTTATTTCAAGAGACTAGTCGTGCCTGGGTCATCACCAGTGGGGAAGGTTAATTTTTCCTTTTACCCACATAAGCCCGAATAAGGGAGATTGTCGAAGAGAAGAGCCACTGTGAATCTATTTGAAACCCAATAAGGTGACTTTTCTGGTTCTTGTTTTATGTTTAAGGACAGTTATTTCATTTTTGAATTGAAAGGTATGCGAGGATCAGTCGTCTTAAACTGGGAAATAGTGGAATGAATGGGGTTTGTCTCAGTAGACAGAAAAAAAGAAGCAGCAGAGAAAGTGTCATTTTCATGGAGGACTGGATTTGGAAAGAAGTAATAGTTCCTCTAGTCCAACCTCCCACTGGTGAATAAACACTCACTTTGTGTTTATAGAAAAAACTATTTGAAGTTGGAAACAGGAATTTGGGTTTGAAAATACTTTGTTGCCTAATTATTTTTTGCTTTGTCTATTTTTTTTTCTAGTGAAATTATATCTAACTGGGCCTTTATTATATACAAAAGCTTAAATGTATTTTGCATTTATGAATTACTTAGGCCCTTTATGGTCATAGGTGGGGAGAGATTGTTTTTCCTAGATCTGAAACCATTTGGATGAATAGGTAATTTTTAAGCCACTCTTTGATTTTTGGGCAGGGGCGCTTTAAAGTAGTTTTTGCATCTCCTCCCAAGGATCACACCCTATAGGTTAGATTGCTGGGGCTCACCTATTTGTTCTCATTACTTTCTGCCATAACTACATGAACATGTGTGCGTTTGGGTATCCTGTTCAAATGATTCTAGAGTTACATATACTCTGTCATTTGCTGTTTTTCCTGTGGACTTGTTCTTAGCTGTTACTTACCCCAGGTTTGTAGTATGAAGGACTAAAGGAATGATCTTTGGCCTTGAGAAAAGTTGTTCACTAAGTATGTGAAATCATTCCACTCGGAGAGCCAGGTTTGAGGCTAGCCCATTGTGTCAGCTTGCAGATGTAAGTGAGAGATTGATGGTTAGTTTTTCTTAGTGTTCCGCTGTGTTCAGTGTCACTGTCCATTTTACCTTCGTTACTGCTATCATACCCATATCTTTATAAATTCACCAGCAACATATCTGTATGTTGAATTTAATTGATTTTAGCAGCTAACCACAGATAGAATCTTTGTAAAGTAGAATCGTACATTTCCAGAATGTGGATTGTTAGTGGAGCCATTTTTTGTGGGCACAGACAATTACTGTGATGTCATCACAGAGATGTGATCAAAGTTAAAAAACAACAAAAAAGGAAACATGAGCTAGGATGAAGGAAAGGTAGCTGTGTAACTAGCTGGGAATATTTAAAACATAAAAAAAGAAGGGTGCCATGGGTAGGTCTTACTCTGTCAGTCCTGTTTCAGAGATCTGAAAATTGTCCATGCTTTGTCCATTGAGATGGACATCCAGTTCAGTCCTGTTTGGGCTCTTAGAGACCAGGGGAGTTGGAAGTTGAGGGATAGTCTTGTCAAAATTCTCCATCTTGATTTGGTATTCACCTTTGGAACCTCGGGTCAGCAGAGGTGCGAAACAGTGATGTAGCATGATCTCGGAGGGGAGATAGGATGTCCTTCTTTGGCATATTTCTCCAGTGCCTTCCTGCATTGCTGAGAGGAACACCACTAGTTCAAAGTAGGGGGGATTTTCATGCTGGAGCAGAGTAGCCAGAGGGCTGGATGGTGTAATGGAGTGAAAGTAGGTCAGCGGGAAGATAAAGAAAGGGCATTCCTGGGAACTGATGCCCTCGAGGTGGAAATCCACACTGGTCTGGTGGAGCTCGCCGTCCCCTCTCTCCTGGTAGAGGACAGCTGAGACCCGAACGCTGGTGAGAGGGCTGGGTCGTGTGTTGGCCACTTGGAAAATAAGATTGGGTTTTCCGTCTAGGTAAGCCACTACTGCTGAGTCAGTAAAGCGGATTGAGAAAGCTCGATTTTTTGGCCGGGCAATCTTCGCCACAAAGGCACCTAAATCAGAAACCATTGAATTTTTTTTTTTAGAATGTCGACTATAAATATCAATATCTTTTTTGAACGAGAAGGGTGTTATACCAAGTAGTTAAACATTTCTCGAGTGTCGTGACTTCTAAATGAGTCAGGAATTGCATACATTGTTTGTTAGTTGGGGTTGTCTCATTTGCCTGAAGACTTTTCAGAGTATGCATACCTTCTTACTTGAAAAGCCATAATTTCAAAATGGACAAGCCTCATTCATCTTGTTACATGGGGATGTAAGACTGTATCCTCTAGCTTCCTACAGAGTCAAAGAATTGGTCATTTCCTATAGCCCTGTCTCTACTTTCTTTACCGATATAATGGAAGATAAATACAGGCTGCTTATACTTCAAGTTGTGGTAGAGACTGGATTCAGAAGAGACTGTTTTTGGGATGGGGATGAGGAGGGAGCTTGTAAATGAGTGATCCGTTGAAGAACTTTGTACCTTTGAACCTTAGGTGAACCTTAAACTTTTTTTTTTGAAGACACTGGCTTTGTAAGGTGATGTCAGCCAGTGTACCTTTCACGTGTATCTTCCTTGTGTCCCGACCTACAGATAAGGGATTCTGCAGCATATCTGTGCCACAGATGTTGGTGGTGGGCTGGGGAGGCCAGTGGACCGCTGCTCAGAGTCATGTTGTAAAGGTATAAAAAAATTGATGGGCTTCAAGGAAAACCAAAACATACTGAAATCCAGTAGAATATTAATATTGATAATGTTTTACAGGTACTCTGTCTACTTTATTAATGCATTAAATAACAGAATCTAGTGGTAGGTCTACTACTGTAACTTTGAAAGTATTATGGTAGGATATGGAAACATCTATGATTTTTATTTGTATCCAATTAGGGATACCGCTGATGCTACTGTGTTTTGTTGCCTATATTCATAATCAAAGGAAATGCCAAATTTCAGGGTAGAGGTTAGTGAAAAAAAGATTGAAGTTTTTCCCTTCTAAGTTCACAGAATGCTTAATTTTATCCACAACCTGACTCAGTTTGAGAACCCTTGTTCTAGAAGTTAAGTAATTTCTTACAGCTTATAGAGCCAGTTGGTAACACACTGGGGCTTGATGCCTGACCACTTTTCTTGTGACCCTATGCTTACCTTCTCAGATTGTTACTGACAAGTAGGTTAAAACTAGGCTTTCTTTTTAATTGTGTCAGTTATTAAAAACGACACTAGCCTTAATTTGTTAGAGGAAGGAGCCTTACTTGTTACCAGGCTTATAAGCAAAATTTCATAATCCTTAGCCATATTTCCAGTGCATGTTTTTAAGAAAGTGTATACTTCATTTGTTCTCTAACATATTATGTGGGAGCTCTGGTGGTGTAGTGCCTAAGTCATTTGACTGCTAACCAGAAGGCTGCTGATTCAAACCCCTCAGCCACTCCTCAGAAGGACTCTTCTTCCATAGTGATACTGTCTCAGAAACCCAAGGAGGGGTTGCGATGAGTCTAATTGACTCGATGGCAGTGAATTTGGTTTATTGAGTCAATATGTGATGCCGACTCTGGTGATCTGGGCTCAGTGGAACTGAGTAAATGTTAAAAAGGTAAACCCAGAGGAGATGATTCTAGCCTAGTGAAGAAAAAAGAAATACTGAATTTCCCTGTTAGATAAAATGACTGTCAGGATTATGCACTGACATGTTTATTTGCTTATTTGACAAAATGTATAACTTATCTGAAAGACTCCTTTAGACCTCTTGCTATTTTTTTGGGGGGGAGGGACATAGGTTGTCCCTGCAAGTCAGTGTCATAAAGATCCATATATATATATATATATATATTTTTTTATATTTTTCTTAATTTCCAATAGGTAAAACTGAGTATATAGTCAAGTTCCTTACAATTTCTTCTCTTGTTTAGCCCTATACTGTTTATTTTCTGTCTCAGGCAGTACCTGCTAATAAAGCAAACCAATTACTGTATAGCAGAATTGCTTACAACTGATTATGCCCTTTCCAGAACACTCACTTTTTCCCCCCCTAAAAAAAGAAAAAAAGAACAAAGACAGTTACCTGTGATAAAAGCCTCTAGCATGAGGCCTAGGAGCATTTGTATGGCCAGTAAGGCAATTGCGCTTGGACAGTCACCACTGGGGAACATGGTACCGTAACCAATTGTGAGCTGTGTCTCCAGGGAGAAGGAGAAGGCTGCTGTGAAGCTGGTGATGTACTTGACACAGATAGTGTGGTTTTCAGGTGGGGCATCGTGGTCTAGTTCCAGATCGCCATTCATCTCAGCCAGAACATACCAGAGCACTGCGAAGACCAGCCAGTGGACCACAAATGAAGCAGAGAAGACCAGCATCATCCACCTCCAGCGCATGTCCATTAGGATCCCCCAAGCATCTCGAAGATATGCAAGGCCTCGTTGAGCCCCATCCATTTGAAGGGTGCTGTGGCCATCTTTGGTGACCACCCTCCGCTGTCTCAGAGTTAGTAGAGGGGCAATGACTTTGCAGTTACTGTTGTCCATCTTAGGCTGGAATTCTCTGAAATCAAGAGTACATTAGTCACAACTATAAGACCAGAAGAACTAGATGGTGCCCGGCTACCACTGTCAACCACTAGGAGGGGGATCTATGTAGGAGATCCTGGATAGAGTGGGGGGAGAACAATGTTGAACAAAACTCAAAATCATTTAAAAAACAAAAAACGAAAAAAGGACCAGGTTTGCTGGTCTGAGAGAGCCTGGTGAAACCTGAGACTATGGCCTCTAGCTGCCCTTCAGATCTGGAATTGAACCCTCTCCTGTGGCTTCCAGCCAAACAGAAGACAAGCATATTAGCTGAACATATATATTAGGTAGATACATTCCTTGGAGAGATCAATCATGGGAGAATAGAAGGGCTGTGTATGCACAGGGAGACAGCGTGGGGGGCAGGAGTGCATGGAAGGGAAGAACACAGGGGAAGAGCTAACTATGGGGAGGAGGAAGTAGGAGGGGAGCTGTTGCATTATGGGAAGTTGCAGTCAGTGTCATGAGACAGAGTGTTAGGTGCTATATGGAAAGTGAATTTGCTCTGTAAACTTTCACCCAAATCACAATAAAAATTAAAAAAAAAAAAAAATGCACATTAGTCAGCCCTTAACTCTTTCGTAGTTAATATTCCTCAATTCTGTGACTCCATTCCTGTTCTGCTTTCTTTGGAATGCTTCCCTGACTATAATTTGAGAAGGCGTTTCCCCATCTGACAGCTCATTCTTTCTCTGTACATAAGGGGGACATTTTATTGATCAATTAATTCAATCAGGTGTTGCATTAGGATATCTCCTTTTTTGTTTCCTTGAATGACTATTAAAATATAGTTTAACGTTCTAACATTTCCTTACTGTAAAGTTCCTGAGAGACAAGATTGTGATTCGTGCCAGTTTGACAAGGCTGTCGCTTCCTTGCACCAGTCCAGGCAATCAAGTGTTCATTGATGTGACCAAATACTATGTGTAATAGCAAAATACCTGAGTATTTTGTGATAAAAAGGAAAACATTAAATACATAAAGATTCTTCTTTGTAAATAAATAGAAATCATTTGGAAGCTTCATGTGAAACTGCAAATCCTTTGGAACCAGTCTTGGTTTAGGGCAAGACTTGGGTTTGTGCTAAGCTTCTTGAGCTCTGTGGTTCTAATGTGTGTTTCATAATTTGCCTTGTGAGAGTACCCCAAAGGCTTTTATGGTTTCTGTTTATTTGTTCTTGTCACTTTGGGCCATTTTCATGGAGTCTTGCATTCCTGGCTGATGTATTGCTGTCTTGTTGAATATTTTAGGTTCTGACTGGATTGTGGAGAGAGAATTACTTTATTTGCAAAATAAGAAATTCTGGGTTGACATTCCTAGATAACGTTAGCTTTGAAAGTAAATAAAACAAAAGAAAAAATATGAGTAGCTTAATGAACTGAAATAATTATGAAGCCATCAAATGACAGTTTTTAAGAGATAATTAATACTTGTTTTCAGCTGTAAGCGGTTTCCATCACTGGTTAAACTTTCCTCTGTGGTGAGTTGGAATCTAATGAGCGCTGTCTTCTGTCTTCCTTGCATATGACGAAGGTGCCTGTGACCTCTGTGCAGAGGCCGCCAGAGGCAGAGTGGGAAATGCCAGTCTGATCCCCTTGGGTACTCCCTTCTTCTTTGCCATAATCCCTCATAGTTGTTTATATTTACTCTTGTTTTGAGTCTTTCTTCAGAATGAGATGTCTTTGGGAGTGCTGCGTACTCCTCTTTGCTCTTTGAATGAAACTTAAGAAGAGACTAGAGGCTTGTGGATCTGGGTTGCTTTGCTGGAGCTGGCTGGCCCCTGTGTGTAGGGGCCTGGGGCTTTGAAGACCACCTCCACTGCTTTTGGAATTGACATTGGCCAACTGGGAATTTTCAACTTTGTCTAGAGACGATTTTGACATTTATCGTCCTATTGGAGACATTCTCTTGTGTTTTCTTCAGCTTTAAGCTGCTAATGCAGTATTGAGGTGTTAAAATTATTTAGATTATATGCTGACATGGGGAGGGATATACAGGAAGGATATATGATCACCAGGATAACATTGGGAAATGAGAGGACACCGAACTGTGCTCATAAGAGATAGATGACAGATGTTAAAACCAACCAATGTGTTCACAATACCACATTGTTATTAACACCAAACACTAGGCTATACAGATAAACATATAAACACCTGAGATGATCAGACAGGGATCAGTGAATAGAGGTATACTCTAGACCAAGGATAGACTCAGCTGAGGCTAATCTTGTACAGACACCAGTGATACAAAATACCTGCAGTCCTTGCAGAAACAATAGAAGACAGACACAGAGTAATTCCTCACAGACATCCCAACACTATGGGAGAGAGAGCCAATAGAGCTACTACCTCAGGACCATAGTACTGGGGGACACCAGACTCAGTTGGCCCAACAAAATACATAAAAGCGTTGCTCCACATCCTACATTGGTGAGTAGCAGCTGGGGTCTTAAAAGCTTTTAAGTAGCCATCTAGGATGCAGCTAATGGTCTCCCAGCGTCAGAAGTGAAGAAGAATGCACAAAAAGAAACAAGGGCATTTAGAAGCAATTAACCCTAGGGACACGATGGCCCTCGAGACCAGAAGAATAGGATGGTGCCCGGCAACCAGTGCCAACCACTCAGGAAAGGATCAAATCTGGAGATCCTGGATAGAGTGAGAGAGAAAACGTGGAACAAAATCCAAAAACTCAATAATGACCAGAATTACTGGTCAGATCAAGTCTGGTGAGACTCCCAATACTATGGCCCTGAAATACACTCGGCGCCTGGAATAAAACTCACCCCCAGGGGCGGGCTCTAAGCCCAATGGTTAGCGAGATGTACACGCAGACCACTCAACCCAGGGTGCTGCACCCACACACTCAATGGTAATGCATCCCCTAAAGCAATAAACCATAGGACACCAAAGGACCAACATTCAGACTGAGGAAATGAGGGACAAACAGGAGTGCATGATTATGAGGGGCACAGGGGGAGTGTTGCAGGGTAGGGAGGGGAGGAGGCTGGGTTGGGGTTGAACATGGGGAATGAAACTAAATGTATGCGTGACTTTGAATGTGAAACAAGCTCTTAAAAAGAAATAAATAAAATAGAATAAAATTACTTAGATTAGATGGCCAATTCCTTAACTTTCTAAAGTAGCCGTTTCAATTTCATATTACAGAATTTAAAAAACCTTAGTGCCTTACTGTTTCATGGTTTATTGTCATCATAAGTTTCATAGTCATACATGTTTTTTTCCCCTTGATATAGGTACTTAATGACCTTGATTTTGTGAGATTATTTAGATGGTTTGGGAGACCTGATAACCTGCCCTTTTGGAAATAATAGTAAAATCTCCTTGGCACCGTGCAGGGTGCTTTCCTAACTAACGCGTCTGTCTACTTATTTGGGGTCTCAGCCACATAGACGTCATCCCCATTTATCAGACGAGGTCACTGAGGCTCAGGGAGAGAGAAGAAACCTCCACAGGGCAGAAGGGGGCAGAATTTGGATTATTATCTGAGTCTGCTAACTCCAAAACCAATGTATATGAGGGTGTTTTGTTTTATTTTTTTAACCACAAGAAGCTGTCTCTTCAGAGTTGGTGAAATAAAAAATATCCCATTGCTATTACATTCACAAGGTGGTCTTTTGACAGCCAGATCTCTAGATGATGGTCTGATACTCTTTGTCCCCACAGCTGTCTCAGGTGTCTATCCTAAACCATTGTTAACTTTGTATGTGACTCTTATGGCGGTAACGATGAATAGCATTAGCTGCTATCTCCTGTTTACCGTGTGCCAGAAAACATACTAAACACTTCCGCGGATGAGCTCACAGGAAGCTCATAGGCAGTGTGTGAATAGGCACTCTGTGTGAATTGCTGTGTGATTATTGGTAACATGTCTTAATCGTCACAGTAATAAGTATGATTATTACTCCCATTGCACAGACGATGAAACTGAGGTCCGAAGGTAGTAGGTGGTGAGTGTGAATCCCATCCACCCGAGGTCAGAGTCAGTGCCGTGTTTCCTCAGCAGCAGACATCTGACCCTGGCCAGTCAGCCTTTGTGGAAAGCACTGTTTTCCATCTGACTAGTTTTATTCAAAAGCCACTGCAGAATGTTTGGTCTTCATTTATGCTTATTAGATTCAGACCTAAGATTTTTAGGCAAGAAATATTTTCAATTAAGGAAGACTTCTTTCAAGATTGGTTAATTTGTACAGTCAGAGTTATTACATAGTCTAGTATTTTGGATTTTACTGATCAGTAGAATCAGAACAAAACAGGGAAAGGAGAGTTCTTAGCATTGCCAATGTAGTAATTTGCAAAGTGAGAAAGTAATTTTAAAAGTAAACTACCACCATCATCCCTTTATGAACGAAAGGATAGTTTCACCCTTGAAGAAGGTTGTAGCCATGAAAGGAGAGCTGGTTGCCTTTCCCAGAGGTGTGTGAACATGGTTCTGTCCTTTGTAGTAGCTCACTTTCTGCCTATACGACAAGCCTGTTGGGGACCTGCGCCCGGGGTACCTGTTCCACTCACCAGTGCCCTGGTAAATACTTCCTGGTTCACAGCAGCTCGGGGGGTACGAGTGGGGGAGTGGGGTACACGATTCTTCTTGATTTTTTAACCTACTTTGTTAATAAAATTTCTAAACTTCATTAACTGGAGAGAAAGCCTTCCTATGTGAAGGGTAGCTAACAGCATTAATTATTCCCATTTGAGTTTCTGCAGACTTGTTACGTACAGCTTCTGTGCAGTCTGATGTCTGCATCAGTCTCTTGACACTTCCATTCTTTTCTCTTGCAAGTAAATTGTATGGAAAAACCTGTGAACAGGGAAGTCAAGTACTAATACCCAAACAATGAAGCCATACCTTTTTCATATAAGACTTTGCTAGATCTTGTTTAGATTGTGTTGGGAAGTAGTTGAGGGAAGTAAGATTTTGATCCCCACTTAAGAGATTACCCTGAATAACTCCATTCTTTGGACTCATGCGGTCAGTGTGGTTTATATAAAGAACAGAGGATGGCGTATCTGGCCAACCAGGCTCTCACCCTGTGGTTTTGTAGTTGTGTCACTTTGGGCAAGTCATCCAATACCCTTGGCCAGGCTGCCTTATGTTTTTTTTTTTTTTTAAAAAGTAAGAGAAGGAATTAAGTAACACGATCTCCTGTAGTTCGACAAGTTTGCAGACTTATTGCCAGTTCCTTCAGCTGATACAGCATTCCTGTATGGTTTCACTCTTCCTTTTTTTTCCCCCCATATGACTTTCCATGTTTGTTTGTATGGATTTTTTTTTCAAGTTAGATCATTGTTGACTAGTATCTGTAGGGTTTTCTTCCCATCTAATTTAGAAGTGTCTGATGGGCTGCCATTACATTTATACTATGTATTTCCCTGTAATTTTCATGTCCGCAAAGGCACAGTGCTTTTTGAATGTATCATTTTCTTTGGTTTGTATTGATAAATGATTTTCACCAGCTGATCCCAATAGAAAGTAGAATGGGCACTTGGTAAGGTTTCTTGTGTCCGTGTGTGTGGGCTGTAAAATATTTGCCCGTTTATAAACTACATGGTGCTTAAAAATAGTACTTCATAAAAATAATAGTTTAGCTGCTTCATTGGTCATCAGAACAATGGATTCATTCTACTGATTAGTTTGTAACTTTGTATCTGTTCTATTGGCATGTTACACAGTAGCAATGCAGTTTATATTAAACACTTAGAATATAGCTTGTAACTATTAATGTTATACAAATACAGGATGATCATGTATCTGTCCACACGGGTTTCAGCACTTTGCGCCTGTATCTAAAGTCAAAATCATCTCTCCTTCTCTGCAGAATGAGGGCTAACAATGTGAGTTCTAACCCTGTTATGTAAGCTCAGAGATTTTTTTTTTTATAGTTTAATTTTTTTATTTGCAGAAGCATCTACTAGTTTCAATAATAATTCCCTGCTTAAAAGAAATTTAAAATGAAGATAAATCTCATCATTTTATTTATGGAAAAAGAATAAAAGCAAAATGTTTTATTCTTTTGTCATTTGTTTCCATACACTCATTGAGGGTTCTTTTATACTTTCCAAAAGAAAAAGCACATCCCCATCCCCCCCCCAATCCTCTGAATTTTTTCTAGGGCCTTTATCTTCACCTTTTTCTATATTATAGTGGAGATTGATATGCCTTTAACAAAACAATTCAGAAGACAACTGCCAGTAATCTTTTTCAGTAGGGCTGTTTTCCATTTCTAAAATTTAAGAAAAAAGAATAAGGATCCTTAATACGTATCCCTAGAGATACTGTTATAAAAATCTATTGGAAATAACCAGCTCTATCCCTACTTGCCAATTGCATTTCTTCCCCTGTTCCCTTTAAGGAAAGAAAGAAGAGTGAATGTCATTTCCTGTACTCACCAGTTCTTATGGTGGGTGAGCCTCTATGCAGAGGTAGGTCTGGAGGAAACTGGCCGAGTGTATGTTCAATCAGGTGATTCTCATCTACAGTCTAGTTTGTAGGTTCTCTTCTTGGACTGGGTTTCCAGTTCACATTCCACTGTTTATAATGCAGTGGGGGCTGGTTTCCACTGAAGCTGATGGGATTGGTCACTTGGTCTGCAGGGGGGCCAATTAGCTCTGATCATGTGGAAAAGAATGCTGGTTTGTTAGGAGGTCTGTCTTTACCCAGCACAGACCTTGCGGACTCTGGAGAAAGCCTCCAGAGCCCACTTGGAGAAGGGGTGCATTTTTTCCCTCTAATCAGGACCGGCCTTTAGTAAGTTTGCATAATCTTACTTAAGAGTTTATTTGGAAGTTCAAAGGGATAAAATTCCCTGCAGGATTTCCTTTCAGCCGTCTTTCCTTATATAGCGTGTTGAAGTGTGAGATATTTCCTCTACTAATCTTTTTATTTTTCCTCCATTTCTTTAGGGAAGATTTATTTAGATGGGGACTTGTAGGCATGAATTAAGGAATTAATTTTTCTACTTTGGTTTTCATACCCCATTTCATCAGAGTGGGTACCGTTGACTCTAGAACTGGTACTATAGATACTGAAGTTTAGTTCCCTTTGTCTTCATTATTACTGTGATTATCTTTTGTAAGGAAGCAGACTTTTTTTTTTTTTTTTTCCTAAAACAAACAAACAAACAAAAAAAACCTATGCAAATACCCTGGAATAGGAATAAATTTAATTGTTTGGTTCCTTGTAGTTATCTTTAAAATACACACCTGTCTGAAGTAACAGAAGACATGTCTTTGCTTTGGTGATGTGTAAGGGATGTTTCCATGATGAGAAGTATGGCAACATGTAGTAAATTTTCAGGGTACAGAAAACATAACTCATAGCCAGACTGGTGTTCAGCAGGAAAGTGTCTGTGATGCCGCTTGTGGCAACCTTGAAATGAGCTAAGGGTGGCTCTGGGTAATGCCTTACTGAGCAGTATTTTCTCCTCTTTCCTTAGCTGCTGATTTTAAAACTTTGATCAAATGTCACATGTAAGAGGATCTGGGAAACAAAGACTGTGATTGTTCAAAGTACAATCATGAAAGGCCTGCTGGGAAAGTTATTAATGTAGACCAATATAATGCTACTTAGAACGTGAAATCGGCCTTTGTTGATTGCTTCCCCTGTTTAAAAATGTATTAATTCCTTCTTTGCTTCATTCATGCCAAACATTTCAGTACAAGTTGAGACACAGCACTGGAAGCTTTGACCTTCAGAACCAGAGAAGGTACCAGTATGAAGGAAGGACTTGTGATGCTTGCTTCTGGCGTGGACTGGGCGAAGTTACAGTTTTTGTCATTAAATCAGCTGATGGAAGATAAAGAACCAGAGCAAGCACAGTGCACTGTCGCCGTGTGTCGCTCCTAGACATTAAAGTGGGCAAGGCAGTGGGGTTTACTTCTGCAGTAAACTTAGAAGCCCCTTTCCATCATTCACCCGGTTTGAGAGTGTGTTGAGGCAGAAATGACTTGACAGTGATCCCCGATTAAGGAAGAAAATGGCTCGAGTGAAGAAGTGTTCTGATTTCTGGATGTCTGCAGGTGGAAGGCTTGCTAGGGTCTTAGTGACTCCGACTTGCTGACTGTCTGGGCAGTGGACAGGAGCTGGAGTGTATTGTGCCCATTACAGTAGCCTAAAGATCAGGCCTTCTGTTTCCGGTAGAGTCAGGTTGGCTGGAATGACATGGATGTGGGCCCAGGTGTGATGTGCTAATTTCACCTTAAAGCACCTGGGCCCTTCCATCTACACAGAGTTGGTGATTTCTGTTTGAGGTATTTCTTAGTAAGGTAGTTGGAGATGGCTCTATAACATCTCTTCTTTGTCACCTAAGTGCTAGTCACTGTGATTTCTTTCTTTTTATTCAAAATTGTAATGATTAAGCAAGGTGCCAAGATCAGTTACATTATTTTTTTATTAAACTCATTTCTATGGAAGTCCTTGCTTTTCTTTCTGGCTGAAATAATCTGGGATCTACACCATAAAAGTGCCACATTGTGCTTGAAAACGACTGCCTATGCCCATAAGTCATCTCCTCACTTTAAGACGTTCGCCTGATCTCCTGTGCTCTTTCTTACACGGTGCACTTAGCTTTCTTCAGAAGATGCTGAGATTGTCCCCAGTGCTACATGTTTACATCCTCCTACTGATTGTCTTGCTCGAGGTTTCAGCCAGCCTCTGTGTGTGACTAGTGCACACTCACACTCTGTGGACACGGGGGTTGGTGGGGTGTGGGGCATGTTCAAAGGAGGTGCTTCTCTCTTCCAGCCAGGACTCGTATTGACCAGGGGAGCAGGTGTGTCACCCCTTGGGGGTTAGTTCAAGTTTGGGAGTCCCCAGGACTCTTTCCAGTGTGTCTTTTCCCAGCAATGATATGTGGCCACATGCAGAATTACTGCCAATTAGGGAAGCCCATGTGAGCCTTGGTATCCAGAGCTTTCATTGGGGTTCAGTCCCGTAGAGTTGTGTGGCTGACCTTTAGTCTCCAGCCCTTCCAGAGAGTGAGCTCATACTATGTGGCCGGAGGCCTCACCATCAATCACATTGTTAGCATCAGGGTTGGATTATCTGGTAAACAAGGTGAGCGTGGGCTGGTTGACTAATCTGCAGTAAATAGTTGCACAGGTTTTTTATGGTGAACTAAATTGTTTGCTGCAGGTTAGTAAGCACAATTTAGCCAGTGCTTACCTTGCTTATTAGGTAATCTGCCCCTGGTTAGCATAGACTAATGGGTGTGGCTTGGGAGCTCTGGTAATGAAGTGCCTAAGGCATTTGACTGCTAATCAGAAGGCTGGCGCTTCAAACCCACCAGCCACTCCTTGGAAGGAAGGTTGGGCAATCTACTTCCGTAGTGATATTGCCTCAGAAACCCAGGAGGGGTCGCTACAAGTCGAGTTGACTCAACGGCACATAACAACAATAGGTGTGGCTTAAGGGCCAGGGCCAAACCTTTCTTTGGGCTAAATTCTTTTCACACAGACTGGTGGAAAAAGTGGCAAATTTTGCATAGAATATAAACTTTGCATTTTAACTATCCTGAATATCTTTGTTTACAGGAAATTGTTGGGTGGTGGGGGCAGGGGGAGTAAATCAACACCTAGGGTGGGTTTCCCTTCCACTGTTCTCTCCTTGTGTTAGAAAATATTTTTAGTGTTGATCAGAGACCATCTATGTGAGCAGAGGAATACAAAATCCCTTGTTAGAAAAATTTGCACATAAACAAGCTTCAAAGTCTGTCCCATAATTCCACTGTGCTTTTAGAGATTGGGTGCTTGTAAGTGCCAGGTCTCACAGCTGTAGATTTTGTTGGCTGAGTGCCTGTTCACTCCATCTGAAGTTTTCCATAAACACCCTTTTTGGCTGGGAGTCAGACATGCACGCAGGTGCCCTTTTACTGCTCTGTCTCCTCAGGAAGTCCGCTCAGACCAGGCTCAGCCTGTACAGTGTCCTAACGTATTCACTTATTTATTGGAGAATCCTAGTCAGACTTTTAACACGTTAAAGGAGAAACAACCAAGTATTCACTGCCATCAGAGAAGATATTTACAGACGTTGCACACAGGTATTTTAGCACCTTTTACACGTCATGAATTACTGTTGATTTAAGAACATGAAGTGTACAATACAAGGAGTAGAGTTTGCTCATAAAATGGTGCACTTGCTATATCGGATACAAAGCACTGCATTTTAAATTTGCATTTCTTTGCCTTTTCGAGGTCATACATTCCTTTAAGACTCTGACAAGAGCTTTAGACTCTTGTCCATGTTTGGGGCAGGGAGGTCGGGCAGCGTGGCGGGAAGCATGCCAACACAGCATGTGTGCTTCGAGTTCCACGGTCCCAGCCCTCAGCCCTCAGCTCATTCACAGACTACAGGGGAGAAATCCCTGGTTTAGACAGCAGTTTGTAAATTATCCGATGAGATGTACTTTTAAATCCTCTTGTTTACAAATTAAGCTAATGTTTGAAGAAGCAGTCAATTGGTGTATTAGTCACTCAGCTGTTTGTAAGGAAGACCAAAGAAGAATTGATGCTTGAATTAGGATGCTGATGAAAACTATTAAATATACCATGGACTGCCGGGAGAAGGAACAGACCTGTCTTGGAAGAAGTACAGTCAGAATGTTCTTCAGAAGGAAGGGTGGTGAGACTTCGTCTCATGTACTTTGGATGTGTTACCAGGAGGGACTAGTCTGTGGAGGACATCTTGGTCGAGGAAAAAAGAGAAAGGCCTTCAGTGAGGTGGATTGACACGGTGGCGGCAACAGTGGGCTCAGACAGAGCAGGGATTGTGAGGGTAGCACAGGACCTGGCAGTGTTTCGTTCTCTTGTACATAGATAAGGTTGCTGTGAGTCAGAACCGACTTGTTGGCACTTGATGACATCAACAACTTTGTTACCTCGGTGTTGGTGTGATAGAAGCAGTAACAGAAGGAAGACTTTGTTTTGAATGCTGAGCCAAAGTCCTCTGGGGCCATCTCTCACTCACTTAGCCCTGGTCACTGTGGAGTCCTAGAGTTTTTAGACTCAAAAAGAAATTTAGATACCATCTTTTAAATTTTCCATGGAAGATTTTAATATTTTAAAATTTTCAAATTAAGCCAGTAATTTTGTGAATGTATTATGACCTAAAAAAAACCCCTCAAACCATATGGATAGAGTTCTCCTTGACACCTCCATCCACATTTGTATAAACTCAAGCCCTACTGTATTCATTTAAATTATAAAGAGTTTTTACCATAATATTTTAGGATGGTTCTCACAGTGTGATTTTTAGTGGCGTAGTGTCCAAGGTATTTGACTGCTAACCTGAAGGCTGGTGGTTCAAACCTATCAGCCACTCCTCGGAAGGAAGACTGAGCAATTTATTTCCATAGAGATATCGCCTCAGAAACCCAAGGAGGGGTCATTAGGGGTCGTGATGGACTTGACGGCATTGAGTTGGGTTTGGTTTGTTAGTTCTTGTTAACTGTTGTCTGCTGCTGTTGAGTCTGTCTCTGATTCACAGTGACCCTGTGCACAATGGAATAAGAC